CCAAGGAGGGGTCGCTATGAGTCAGGTCTGACTCGATGGCACATAACAACAACAACAACAACAAGAAAAATAATGCTCAGATTTGAGAGACCCTGCCAAACACAAACCTCTACATCATAATGGCAGGGCCAAACCATGGATGAGAAAGTATGTGGGCTTGGTGAGGTGGGGTTGGAAGAGCCACACTCATCTGAGGAGGTGTAGTTATCGCAGGAGTTACTGGGTAGTGCAAATAGTTAATGTGCTCAGCTGCTGGTTGGTGGTTCAAGTCCTCCTGGCAGTACCTAGGAAGAAAGGCCTAGCAATCTACTTCCAAAACATCAGCCATTGAAAATCCTATGGAGCACAGTTTCACTTTGACACACAAAGAGTCACTATGAGTCAGAATAGACTCCATGGCAACTGGTTTAGTTATCACAAGGAAGCTCCTACAGGCAGAAGTGGAGGCAAGAGGAGGCAAAGGAGCAGGGCCTGCTTGAAATTTTAGTGTTTCATGTACTCATCCAACCCTATATGTCAGGAAAGCAAGTCAAAAGGGTAAAAAAGCCCCTATGTGAGCTTAGTAGAACTTCACTAGACAATTGCCAATGCAGAGCCTGGATAAGGGAGCTGTACATGTCAGCTAACTTTACATCTGCTGCTGAACTGAGAAGGGGACTCGGTCATCATGCAAGATGACAGTAAATGGATAGGAGGAAAATCTCCATACTTTATCTTGTTGATACACACGAAAGACAAAAGCCACTGTCGGGGAGAAATAACCCTGCAGAATAAAGGTAAAGAAAAACATCATTCTAAAGACTCAAAAGAAGAGCAAGCCTCTGAAATCAATATGTTACAGAAACCAGAAGATAAATTTAGGACATTGGCATTTTCATTATGACAGAAGTATATATAACATCTATGAAATAACAGTACAAAACCATGAGAAGACAGCAGGCTGAAACGTAACAGGATGAGATCAAATGATAGCAAAATAAAGGATAAAAAAGATAATGAGGGGCTGCAAGGACACTAACGTAGCAATAACATAATTTAACTCTGAGGGAATCAGCAAAGAACAAAAATGTCACTATGGAAAATCAGTGATATAGAATGTAAAAAAAAAAAAAAGGAAGCCAGACTGGAACTCCAACTCGGACATAAACTTTGAACTCAGGCTTCTAGCCTCTACAATTGTAAGAGAATAAATCCCTGTTTGTTCAAGCCATCCCATTTGTGGTATTTTTCTGTTAGAGCAGCACAAGAGAACCAAAACAGATGGTTACATTACCAAGTGCCTATAAGGATGTACAGCAACTGGAACTCTCATATCTTGTTAGTGGGAATGCAAAATGTGACAACCACTTTGGAAATAATGTGGTAGATTCTTATGAAGTTAAACATCCATTTATCATATGACCCAATAATTCCACTCTTAGGTATTTATCCAAAAGAAATAAAAACCTATGCTCACAAAAAAGACTTACACCTGAATATTCACAGAATATTTTTTTCAGAATGGCCAGTGACAATCCAAACATCCACCAGGAGGTGAAAGAATAAACAAACTGGTTTATTTACACAATGCACTGACTACTATTCATAAAAAAAAAGAATAAACTACTGACACCAGCAAAAATATGATTGAATCTCACAAATATGCTGAGCGAAAGAAACCAGATACAAAAGCATACACACTGAATGACTCCATTTATATCAATTTCTAGAAGAGGTAAAACTAATCTATAGTGATGGAAATCAGACCAGTGGTTCACTGGAATGGACTTAAGGAAGAATAACTGCAGGACACAAAAATATTTCTGAGGTAATAGAAATGCTCCATATCTTTGTAGGGGTGGTGATCATATTTTAAAAAAAAGACAAAAGCAAAAACTCACTGCTGTCAGGTCCATTCCGACTCATACTAACCCCCATTGGGTTTCCAAGGCAGTAAATCTTTACAGAAGTAGATTGCCCCATCTTCCTTCCATGGAGCAGCTGGTCAGTTTGAACCCTCAACCTTCTGATTAGCAGTCAAATGCCTTAGGTACTAAACCACCCGAACGCCTGGTGATTATATAGAGGTATATATACTTGCCAGCCTCATTGAACAGTACATTTAAAATGTGTGCATTTTATTATATGTAAACTATACTTTAATAAGGAGCTCTGGTAGCATAGTGACTAAGGCACTTGACTGCTAACCAAAAGGCTGGAGGTTCAAACTCACCAGCCATTCCTCGGAAGGAAGGTTGGGCAATATACTTCCGTAGTGATACCGCCTCGGAAACCCAAGGAGGGGTCGCTATGAGTTGGGTCCAACTCGGCGGCACATAACAACAATATTTTAATAAAGCTGATTGAAAATAAAGGTACCCACATCTAGATTTGTTCTAGAAAGTTTTTAATTACACTAATTTTTAAAAAGTTGTATAAGCATCTATGCAAAAAAAAAAAAAAATCAGGACTTCAAAGAATAAAAAAATCTGATTTCAGATATCTCCTCAGATCTGAGTTAATGTTTATAGTCAAATGACTAAATGTTTATAGTCATTTGAAAGGGAAAAGAAATGACTTAAGAATTTGTACCTAATCAAGGACTGTTCATAAGTGAAGACAACAAAAATCCAATCTAAACATGGAAGGGCTCAGCAAACATACTATACATTCACTCTTCTAGGAAAATATGTTGAAGGCATTTCCCAGGTGACTGAGAAATTATTCAAATTTAAGGGCTCAAGAATGAAGAATGTCGAGAATACTGCACATACGGTTTGAAATTATATGAGGATGTAAAACAATCATTGTAATTTCTAGAAAAGAATTACATACAAAAAATTAAAATATAGAGATAATATGAGTCCCAAACCCCAAATTGTATTAAAACTTGGGACTGTGTGTGAGGGAAGATAACAGAAGTGAACGTCCATTAAATTCCTTATTTGACACATAAATAGTGAAACATCCACTTACGGAATACTGTGTAGTCATAATAATAATGAAGAAGCTCTTATGTTTGGGTATGAAATCATCTATAAGAAAATGTATTCTAAGAGGGAAAGCACAATATAAAACTGTGTATAGCACGCTATCATTTGTATAATAAAAGAGGAAAAGACACATTCTACGAGGGAAATGATAACCTAGCTTGCCTCAGTGGAGGGGAAGTGGGTGGCTGGGACATATAAGTAAAAAGGAAATTTTCTTGCATATTTTTTTGTCTTTTGTTCATTTTAAAACATGTAAATGTCACCTACTTTAAAAAATAAATTTAAGAATATATTATTTGTTGTGTTGTATTTTGAGAATTAAGTAAACATTCATTGAAGATTCTAATACATATAAAAATTCAATTTATAGGGAGTCCATTCAGTTGTCTCATGCTGATGGTTTCCCTCATCCAGGATGACTGTCCTTGTTCTGTCCAAAGCTTAATAAAAGTGTTTCTACTGAAAAAAAAAAAAAATCAGTATATAATAAATGAAGTATCACAGATCAGTAAAGATTCAACGAATGATTTTAGAGTAACAGCCTTCCACTTTAGACAAAAATAATGTTGTGTTGAGTTCTCATTTCACAACCCTGACCAAGATAAATTACAGATGGATTAAGGAGTTAAATTATAAAAATTAAACCATAAAAAGATTAGAACAAAGCAGGTAAATTTCATAGCAAAAAAAGACTATCACAGAGAAAGTTGATAGATTTGACTGTATAAAAACTAAAATCTCCTATAGATCAGAAACATCATAAAAAATTAAAAGGCATACTAAAAACTGGGAAAATACTTTCCGTAAGTATCATGACAGATTAATGTTTTTATTTTGTAAGGAGCTCATCGAATTAAAAAATAAAACAAACTTTCTTAAACTGTCACTAAAATGTCAGTCTAAAAATGGGGAAAGAAATGAAAACAGTTAAGAAACATATAAGAACATGTGAAACATAATAATAGTTATAACTTTAGAATAAAATAAATAATGAACAATTAACCTAATGAATTGACCTAATAAAGAATTCTAACTTTAGACAAAATGTTTCCTAAAGAATTTAATGCAATTTTATTTATACTATTGAAAAGAACCCTGGAAATAATAAAACTATCTATTAATATACAAACATTAAATTCTGACATATTCATACAACAAAATATTATGGCAACATTAAAATAATATTTTTGAAAAATACATAATGACCTAAAAAATGTCCAAGATATACTATGAGTGAAAAAAGCAGAATACAAAACTGTTATATGCAATGATGATAACTTTGAACTGATGATATATATTGAATACATAAAAAGTTATAAATCATTTTCTCTAAAATTATTTTACTATTTATACTTTTCTGTATAAGATCCTTAAGTTTCTAGAATAAGTGTATGGGTAGAGACACCATATTTTAAATAAATATTATAATTAAAAATTCTTACCTGGCATCAATGTGCTCAGGATTTTAAATGAAAGACTTAATTATTACAGTAAGCAAATTATTTGTAGACAAAATGAATTAGCACTTGCCTTCCATTTTTCTTTATGGACAAATAGTGTATAATTACTAGATCCTTTACCAAGACACCACCAGTGGACTAGTCGTCAGAAGGGACAACATCCAACAGGAACACTCTACTTCAACATAATGAATAACTGTATACAGCCTCCATGATGGAACCCCAGGTAAGTCAACTGTAATGATGTTTCATGACACACTTGCCTACCAAGGAAGTCTTCAACTAAGATCACCCATGGATGACCCACACGCTACTGGGTAAAAGTAACTACTGAAATAATCTATGAACCGATAGCTCTGGAGTGAAGAGCGCTGTATCCCGTGTCTAGGCTTCTTAGTGCCCCTCCCCTCCCACTGCCTGTTTTCTCTGGCAGGATATTTTATAGTATGTTCATTTCCAACCCAACTAATAAAGAAGCTCTTTAAAGTTTAGAAAAACACTGCTTACTGGGTTCCTGGGTCCAACATGTGTGCAATACATAAATAAGCAAAGAACACATGTACAGTACCTTCCTGAAGCTGTATTGGCTTGGCAGAATTTTCCCCACTCATTAAAACAACAAAAGATGCAGCTGCTCGAACTGTAGCCTGCCATGTTGACATGGCAACGGGTGGCTCCTGGCATGGAAAAAGGGCCCTGTTGTTTATGGGGGATCCCATCGTATAAACACATGGCCTGCAGAAGAAAAAGAAAGAAACAAAGAGGGAGAATCTTTAAAATGAGTTGTCACTTTTCTCACCACCATGGTAGTGAAGGTTAAGTTGAGCTTTCAAAGAGAAAACATTTGAGGCTTTGTACTTCACTGGTTTCAAAGCATTCTGAACTGAAACTGCCGAGGGCTGAGCTGTGTGAATAGCCCAGTGCTAGATTTCTCCCAAATGAATTACTTAAATATGTAAAGAAGATTTTTTTTTTAAGGGGAGAAATATATTTTGGATAAAGTTTCAAATAGTAGTCTGCCAAGTTATAATTTATATTACCCTTACCCCTTCCCCTTTTGCCTTCAAAAGAAAAAAAAGTTTTAGAGACATTCTTGCTAACCTTTTGGAAAGTATTCTGGAAAAGAAAGTATGTTTGGAGATCACTGAGATATTAATGCTTGGAAAAACAAGCTGGTGGTCTCAAATCCAGGGCTGGTGGGCAGATACCCCCAATCTTGGAAACCACCATCTCCAATGGAACCCTTGTGGGAATCCTTGAGTGGAGGCCAAGAACAAGGGCTGGCATATAAACAGGACTGTAGGTTACAACGACCAGGCTTGTGGTGAGGGAGGCCAAGGGTACAGAACTGTTACCAAAGACAGTGTAGGTAACCAATGACATGACGTTAGGATATGCTCTGCCACAAACAAAAAACACAAACCCACCCAAAGAAAGAAAAATCTCTTCCATGATTAAGTCATGTTTGACAGAGATGAAAAGAAGGATCTATGAGATCAAAGGAACCCATTCTTTTGATACCATGGAGTAGAAGGCAGAAGACGGACTCCTCAAGAACACATCTTCAAAAAGTATTTTCACTTTTTGTTTTCAGGAGTTAAGAAAAATACGATATATTTTTTAAATCAGCTTGGTTTATAGAGTAAATCAATAGAGCAGAACACTACTTCTTTGGATAAATTTATTTTCTTTTTTCATTAACATCACTGTGATGTGTAAACAGCAAAGTTCCAAACTGGAGGCACTCCTGTCAATAAGAATGATGGGGCCAAACATGCGTCCTCAGGAAACAAAAGATCAGGATGTAAACTATCTGGGAAGAATGTGTCAACATGTAAAGGGACAAGATTTTAGTCACTTCTTGGTCACAGCCAGCTACCCAGAGGAACTGAGTAGTTGAACCAGTGGTCTCGGGACCATAGTCGCAGGGGACATCAAGCTCAATTGGCATAACATACTACACAAAACATTGTTCCACCTCCTACTTTGGCGAGTAGCAACTGGGATCTCCAAAGCTTGCAAGTAGCCATCCAGATGCAACAATGGGTCTCTCCTCACCCAGAGCAAAGAAGAATGAAGAAAACAATTAATTCAAAGATTCATGGAAACAATTAATCTAAGCAACTGGTACACCATGCGATCCTTAGCCTATACGACTATGAGACCAGAAGAACTAGATGGTGCCCAGCTACCAATGTCAACCACTCAGAGGGGGATCTATGTAGGAGACCCTGGATAGAGAGGGAGAACAATGTGAAACAAAACTCAAAAGCATTTGGAAAAAAAAAAAAAAGGGGGACCAGGTTTGCTGGTCTGATAGAGCCTGGTGGAACCACTGAGACTATGGCCCCTAGCTGCCCTTCAGGTCTGGAATTGAACCCATACCTGTGGCTCCCAGCCAAACAAAAGACAGGCATAGGAGTTGAACATTTACCTGGGGTAAATACACTCCTTGGAGAGAAC